ACCCATGATGGAGGTGGTAAAGAAAGAAATCATGAAACTTTTGGATGCAGGTATGATCTACCCTATCTTAGACAGTAAACCGGTGACCCCTGTTCAGGTAGTCCCGAAAATAGCCGATGTCAAAGTTGTAAAGAATTCCGAGGGAGATTTGGTGCCAACCCGTGTGCAAAACAGGTGGAGGGTTTGTATTGACTATAGAAAGTTGAATGCCTCAATGAGAAAAGACCATTTTCCTTTTCCATTTATTGACCAAATGTTAGAGAGATTGGCGGGTAAATCTCATTACTGTTGTTTGGATGGTTTCTCGGATTTTCATCAAATTCCGGTAGCCCCGGAAGACCAAGAGAAAACCACCTTCACTTGTCCCTTTGGCACATTTTCTTATAGGCGTATGCCTTTTGGTCTATGCAATGTACCCACGACATTTCAGAGATGCATGGTGAGCATTTTTTCTGAATATGTTGAAAACATCATTGAAGTTTTCATGGATGATTTCACAGTGTATGGAAACTCCTTTGATGAATGTTTAAGCAATCTAGAATTTTTTTGCAAAGGTGCATTGACACAGACCTTGTACTTAACTATGAAAAATGCCATTTCATGGTTGACAAAGGATTGATTTTAGGTCATATTGGGTCCCAAAAGGCTTGGAAGTTGACAAAGCCAAGATAGATGTTATCAAGAGTCTTCCTTACCCGACAAATGTTCGAGAAGTTCATTCGTTTCTTGGCCATACAGGTTTCTATCGGCGGTTCATCAAATATTTTTCAAAGATTACAGTACCGATGTGTCAACTACTCCAAAAAGATGCTGAATTTGCGTTTACTCAGCCATGCAAGGATGCCTTTGATCGTTTGAAGGATTTACTCACCTCTACTCCAATCATCCAACCACATAATTAGGAGCTCCCGTTTGAGATTATGTGCGATGCTAGCAATACCGCGGTTGAGGCGGTTTTGGGACAAAAGGTTGACCGAGCTCATCATGTCATCTACTATGCATCCAAGACCTTGGATAGTGCACAAAGCAACTACATCACAACAGAGAAAGAGTTACTTGCTATTGTATTTGCTCTAGAGTAGTTCCGACAGGACCTCCTTGGAACTAAAGTGATGATATATCGGGACGATGCAGCCATAAAGCACTTACTTAAAAAGAAAGATTCGAAGTCGAGATTAATACGGTGGATGCTGCTTTTGCAAGAGTTCGATATTGAGATCAAGGACAAGACTGGAAAGGAGAGTTTAGTTGCGGATCATCTAAGTCGCATCATATCACCCGAAGATGGTATACCAATCTGTGACACATTTCCAGACTAGTATCTATTTGTAGCCAAAGAAGCACCATGGTATGCAAATATCGTCAATTATTTGGTCAAAATTCAATTTCCCCCAGATTCATCCCGTTGGCAAAAAGATAAAATCAAGAAGGAGGCCAAGCGATACATATGGGACGAGCCGTACCTTTGGATGTACTGTGCAGATCAAATAATATGACGGTGTGTTGAGCGGAAAGAAGTACAACCTATCCTTAATTTTTGCCATTCTTATGCTTGTGGTGGTCACTTTGGATGCCAAAGGACAGCTAGGAAAGTATTAGACAATGGATTCTTTTGGCCTTCTATATTTCATGATTCTTATGTGTTTTGTGCACATTGCGAAAAGTGCCAAAAATCTCGGTCTTTAAGCTCTAGGAATCAAATGCCCTTACTCCCATTTTAGTGTGTGAGATATTTGATGTATGGGGTAGTGACTTTATGGGACCATTTCCGCCCTCTTTTGGTTGTTCATACATTTTATTGGTAGTGGACTATGTGTCCAAATGGGTGGAGGCTAAGGCCACACGTACTAATGATTCCAAAGTTGTGGTAGATTTTCTTAAGGTATAGATTTTCTCACGGTTTGGCACACCAAAGGCGCTCATAAGTGACCGCGGGACCCATTTCTGTAATAGGATGCTCGAAGCTGTTTTGAAGAAGTATGGGGTAACACACAAAGTCTGAATAGCTTATCATCCCCAAACCAATGGACAAGCCGAGATCTCAAACAGGCAAATGAAAAGAATCTTGGAGAAAACGGTCAACCTAAACCACAAAGATTGGAGCATAAGACTAGATGATGCCTTATGGGCATACTATACTGACTTTAAAACCCCCATTGGTATGTTCCCATATAGGTTGGTGTTTGGAAAAGCATGCCATTTTCCGGTTGAGCTTGAACATAAAGCTTTTTGGGCTGTAAAGAAATTCAATTTGAATGAAGATGAGGTGGGAAACAAAAGGAAGCTAGACATTCAAGAGTTAGAGGAGATTCAGAATGATGCGTATGAAAGAAACATGATTTATAAAGAAAAGACAAAAGCGTACCATGACAAAATGATCTCCCGGAAGACCTTTGTGCAAGGAAAAAAGGTGCATCTTTACCACTCAAGGTTCAAGTTAATTTTAGGGAAGTTACGATCAAGATGGGTTGGTCCTTTCGTGGTCACAAGGGTATTTGACCATGGTGCGGTGGAAATCACGAGCAAGAAAACCGGTAAAACATTCAAAGTTAATGGTCATAGATTGAAGCCGTTTTATGAAGGATTTGAGGTGAAGAATGAGGAGGTTTATGTGTTGGAGAACCCTACGTACCAAGACTAAAGCATATTCGGTGGAAAAGTCGAGCCAACGACTTAAAACAAGGGCAGCTAACCGGGAGGCAACCCGGGGGTATTTTCATCAGTTTTCGTTAAAAAATTTTGTTGCTTGCATTTTTATGGTTTTTAATGTTCCAAATGTGCTTTTTCATTGTTTTCAAACAAAAAAAGGACATTGGGATGCAAAAGCATTTCATTTCAAAGAGATGGAATTTTTAAGTTCAAAAAGTGGGGAATAGCATACAAAGAGAAACACGGGTCGTGCCCCACTTGGCCTGAATTAAACACGGGCTGTGTTCATGAAAAATATAACATTTTTCATCCAGAGAGCAACACATGTCGTATTGTGTTTTGCCCATAGTGAACACGGGTCGTGTTCATAAACAAAATGACCTTAACCCATACAGAGAGCAACACGGGTTGTGTTGAGTTTTGCCTTATACTCAACACAGGTCATTTTCATGCTTCAGTTAGCATAAAAACCCCCAACACGGGGCGTGTCTTTTTGGCCTGTGGGAACATGGATTGTGTTCGTGCATTAAGCCTGGTGGTTTTTAATGAAAAAATCAGGACTTTGCCTCATTTACCCCCACAATTACTTCATAACAACCCCTCTCTCCCAACAAAAAAACCCTAGGTCCGATTTTCATCAAAACCTTTCAATTTCTACAAGATTTTAGCTTGCATCTCCAAAAAGCTTTGATTTTTATCATCTACACTTCATCTTCTTCATCCTAAACATAATTTTCTTGCATTTTAATGGTGGATTTGGGGGGTTTGGACAAACCCTAGGTCCGAAAATCTCATATGATTTTGGTGTTTTTGTGTCTTAATCTTCAAAAGGGCAAGCTTGGGGAGGTTGAAGAAGGTCTTTCCCATCAAGAACAACATAATCCCATGCACGATTCGATAGATTCTTTCCAATTCTTCACTTGTGAGATTTGTGTTCTTGAGTCAAATTGCTTGAAATTGTGGTCATATTAGACTTGATTCTCAATAGGAAATCGTTCAAAACCAAATTTCCCGTGCAATTTTGGTGGTTGAATTCATGTTGACTAGGCTCGTTAACAGTTGACTTTCTGACTTATTGACCGGTTGACTTTTAATTTGTCCCATATTAACTATGAAAGGTGAACCTTCTAAAAGGCTTAGATGCACCAAATCATCCGTCCGACGTCGTAGGCCTAGGTCCCCATCCCCGTCACCTCCACCTAGGTCCCTATCACCACAACCCAACCGGGCTCATGGTGGTGTCGTGTGTCTTGGCCCAATTCAAGAGGGCCAATTTGATTCATTTCTTCAGCGAGGTCATACCACCCAAAATTATGTGCATGTGCCATCCCTTAAAGAGTTTCACATTTATAAACAAGTCCAAACCCTGTTTCGCAACATAGGATGACACGAGTTGTTGAGGGTCCACAAATTGAGTTACAAAGTCCCAACAATTGAGTTTCTATCCTCAGTTTATTTAGACCATGGGATCCTCTACTTCCATCTCATCATTCAAGATTATGAGATTTCCTTGGATCAAATTAATGCCATTGTTGGGGCCCCAACTGAACACACATTTGGCCCCACTAACCCAATTAGAGGATACTTTGATATGACATGGTGGACCCAACTCACACAGTTACACCCATACGTCTCTAGCGCTGCTAAAGCCTCATCACTTATCCATCCCTTGATGAAGGTGGCCCATAGAATCATTGCTTCGCTCGTCGCCCCTAGAAAGGAGCAAAGCACCATCAATCCGCTGGAGCTCAAAATCCTTTATGTAATGGCTCATCCCGAGGACAACCACATTCCTCATTATGGTTGCACATCCGATCGGGAAAGATTTATTGAGGGGGTATTGTCAGCATGCTCGCCAAGATTGCCCAAGTCCAAGCCCCATACCCCGACCCCTAACAGCCATTGCTGGGTGAGTCTTATCTCAGCACTGTTGTCCATGAGTCCATGCGACTATTTCGTTTGGTAGCGGATAGCACATACCACTGGACCATGGGTCAAAATCATGATCCAAAGATCCTCATCACACTAGAAAACAAAGGCATTATTGATCTCTGAAAACCCCACTCACATGACCGACTGGCAAATCACACCGTATCTCTTCCTTGATTCCTTCTCTGAGGAGGAAGATGGAGACACTGACGAGAGTAGCAGGGTGGCACCACAAAATTATCCCCCCAGGGGTGGTGCCAGCTCATCCCATTATGCCTCTCCCCCGTCTTATCATCAACAGTATATGGGTGAATTCCAATCAATCCAATCCATCTCTGAGGAGGAAGATGGAGACACTGACGAGAGTAGCGGGGTGGCACCACAAAATTATCCCCCCCCAGGGGTGGTGCCAACTCATCCCATTATGCTTCTCCCCCGTCTTATCATCAACAGTATCTGGGTGAATTCCAGTCAATCCATACCTGCCTCGGCACCTACCAGCAAGATATTACAAGCATCACTCAGAGTTTCTCTTCCTTCACCACCCAGTACGCTTGGGATCAAGAGTGCCAGCGTAAACATGAGGAGGACTTTTAGGCTTGGACTCGAAACTCCGATTACTACCCTTATCCTCCTCCTCCTCAATAGGTTGTTCTGCCCTCTCCAAGCATCAGGGATGATGCTTATCTTTACGCTTGGGGAGGGGTAGAGTTGTACATTAAGTGCATTTCATACTCATGCATACCTTTCATTAGAAAAAAGTTTTTATTTCAAGTTATTGCATTAGGTCTTCTTCATTTTATTATTTTTTTATCATTTTCATGCATCATCATCATGCCTTAAAAAAAGTGTACGAGATGATGACACTCTTTACATACAAGTGCTCCATGAAGTGGGAAAACGAATAATCAAAATGAAAAAAAATACCAAAGCAACCGGATAGTTATCGAAAGTGTAGAATCAGCTGTCATAACTAAGGGACCCAAAGACCGTAATTTGAGACCCCATCATTAGATAATAAAAACAATTTATATTGAAACGCTTTTTTTGGGCTGTAATAATAGCTTTAGGATGATTTGCTTTTGAATGTATAAAAAGAATCTTTATCGAAAACTTTGGACCCACAGAACACGGACCTATTTGTTGATATGCGTTGCCCCCCACGGTAACATAGAGCTTAAGTATCAAATCCACATAGTCAAGAGAGAAAGAAAGGTACAACTGTCATATCTAGTACCCAAATCATAATTTCAAGTGCCAATACAAAGAAATATCAAGAAATTACAAAAATGAAGATTGAAGAATCCAAATTCAAAACGAAGTACAAATCAAAGTTCAATCAAATCAAAATCTAATTCAAAGTCAAATATGGTGAATGAAGAACTGTGTGATATGATACTTGTGGCCTCGAAAAAGTGAAAGCATAGGAGCTGACCCCCTTCAGGTGGGTTCGCTATTTCAGCGAAAGCTAATTCACCGTGACGGGTTCTTAAGGATGCGTCGATTCTAATTCTTGGCCATCTAGTCTTAAGGACATGAGATCCGGATGACAACCTGAAATTTTCCATCCAGTTCAGTCAATCCCTTCAATTAAAGGTCAACTACCTTCTAATAATTGTTAGCCAATTTAAAAGTCCGTTTGAGTATTTTTAATAATTATTCTCGAAACGAACGAGTATAAAGGAATTAAATTCTAGGATATCGGGGTAACAATGGAACAATCAACGCCTTGAATTAGTATTCACAGCCAAACTAAGTGAGTTTGCGCCGTGAACTCCCTTAGGGACAAAATCTCATTGGCTTAAATAGGAGTTTACTCCCCAAACTCTCCATTTCCAACTTCCACCCTCAAGTTTACTCCCCATTCTCTCTCAACTATCATCCCGTCTTTCACCCGATCCCCTGAAAATGTAAGTGTTTCTCGACTTGATTTGTTGTTATAACATAACACCTAGTGTTTATACATCATTTCATCCATTCATTTTTGTGTTTTACTTAGATCTTCAAAACACCAAGAACATACACTAGTGTTCTTGGACCTTAAACACCAAATCATGCTTCTATCTTGTAAGTACACTTGCCCTAACTTCTTGTGTGCTTAATATGAACTTGATAACACTTGAAAATCATCAAATAACACAAGAACAAAGGAGTTTACGGCCAAGGATGTTCTTGGGCCGTAAACCCATTTTTAAGTGGTAAAATGGACATTAGTCCCTTCCTAAGCCTTAGATGCCAACCTTGAACCTTCCTAGAAGTGTTTAAGACCTTAAACAACAACCAAAGCATGTCCCTAAGAGAGTTTACAGCCGTGAACACATAAGAATATGGTCATTTGGCCGTAAACTCCACAAGGTGGTCTTACTATGCCCCTAATGCTTTCCTAAGGCTTGGACTTGATCATTTGATGCCCAATCATGACTTGTAAGACCTCAAAACACAATTTGGCACTTAGTACCATGAGTTTATGGCCCTAAACTCATGGGGAAATGGTCATGGGCCGTAAAATCCATAAAGGGGTGGTTCATGGGCCATAAACTCCAATGCCATGTCATACAACCCTTAGGTGCAACCCTTTGGTACCTATAGCACTTGGATCAAAGTGTTTCCATGACCTAGGGTGTCTTAACTTGATTAATTAGTTATTAGTTAACTAATTAGATTACATATATTTTTATTATATGATAACTAGGACCATTGTGTGTGTTCAAGTCCTCACTTGACACTTAGCACCTTGTCCGACACTTCCGAAAAAACCACTCACTGCAGGTGAGTTCATGCTCCTTAATTAACCTTTTAAATGTTTTTAAATGTTTATAAATGCTTTATGGGGGAGCAGGATACAAGTTGAATCATGTTTAGTTATTATATCAATCACATATGATTAATAACTAGTCTGCAAATGGATACTATAGGTTAACTGTTTTACCAAACATATTTCTTCAAATGACTTTCTTAAACGTTTTTACATGTTTAAAATTGTTTATCAAACTGTCTTACATACTGTAAGATTCCTTTCAAACTCTGTTACAAATGTGTTTTCAAGCAAAGGTTTTCCTTATACTTAAACTGTCTTATCAAACAAAATACTTTCAAATCGTTTTATAAACTGACATCAAGTCATCGTTTCTTAGTATTAAACGTTTCAAAGGTTTTACAAAACTTCTTTTATGCTTTTATATTGTAAAATGCATGCCTAGATATGCATAGTTATATAAATAATGTTTAAAGGACTTAGGACGACTAGCTCGCTTTATTTCCTTTTCCTCGTTGGGATGTGGTCTTAGGGCATCGGTTGCTAATCCGAATGTTGTCTAAATATTAGTTATCTATCATGTATACATATATAGGTATAAAGGTACCATTAGTCAGTTCAGTACCTTTGGTTAGAAAAGGTATACTTCCTATTATACTCGTACATTACTAGTGACTATAATTGGCATAGTTAGGAGTTACTACTTACCCTTCCAAGTACAAGGAATCACACAAGAGTTAGTTCATTCACGAGTCTATACTAATACATTACATGTTACATGAATACGTTCACATAAATACGCTTACATAGATACTCTTACATGAATACGTTTACATAGATATGCTTACATGAATACGTTTACATAGATACGCTTACATAAATACGCTTACAATACACGATAACAAAACAGACATAACAAGGTGCTATTGCATGGTACAAGCTCAGGATCTAACTATAACAATGAATCACTAATACTTTGTGATAGTTATACTGGGTATACATGATCATAGTAATGTGGAAGTTCATGGCTTGCAATCATGCAGGGGTCGCGTTTGGAACCCAAAATCTCTTGATAGGGAGCGTTTAGTATGGGATCTAGCCATCACATTATGCCTTAACCCTCAATTAAGGCAAATTAGTACAAAAGTAGTCAGTTATTACAAATTACTACAGTACTTATACGATAATTACAAAATGATAAAACTCCAGTTAATAAATTATTAATACCTTTACCATGTGTCATATTCACATAATCGATGAGGTAGATTACATAATAATAATAATGTTCGTACAGTCGGGTCTTGCTATAAGGCTACTTTCAAAACAGTCGTGTCTTGGTAGAAGGCTACTTTCAAAACAGTCGGGTCTTGGTAGAAGGCTACTTTCAAAACAGTTAGGAATTAGTAGAAGACTACTTTTTATACTAGTAGAAATCATAGGGATTTTCTAGGGTTTTCAAACGTTTACAATTACTTACAAACCTTTTCATACTTATACAAACTTTTCTCCAAATGTTTACAAGTCTTTAGTTCACAGTTTTACAAATCAAAGACACATTAATACTTATGAATTCACCAGCTTTATTGCTGATACTCGCTTTCAAAATAACTTGTATTATCAAGTCACAAATAGATAGGTACGACGACCAGGTTTTGTGAAGATGGAGCAGTCAAGACTCCTCTTTTATTTTGATTATTCTTTATGTTGTCTTATACTATGAAAGAACACACTTGTAATTAAGATTATACTATTAATGCAATGGATGATGTTGTTGTTTGTTTACTACTTTACATTGTTGTGATACACTACATGACGTCCTCCGCCCCAGAACGTTTCCACCGTTTTTGGTTTTTGTGTGTGACAGATTGGTATCAGAGCATTGTTTATAGTGAATTAAGTATATCAACCCATAAAAAATATACTAACTATAAATACAATGGGATTAAAAATACTTTGAGCAGGAGTTTATACTTTTAAATAATAAAATATTTGACAAAGTATACGTGCCTGCATTCATACTAAAATCCGTGTCACAATGACGAGAATAAAAGTATTACGATTGTTGAATATGACAGGTAAGCTCGGGATGTATGGTCAGTCTTGGGAGTGGCATAGCCTGATCAACTATGATGTTCCGACGAGTGATTAGCACATGCCCACGAATGTTTGTGATGTGTCAACAAGTCTAAAAACTTATCAACACTACCATAATGAGAACATTATAACATAACCTAAGTCTAAAATACTATAGGGGTATTTTGTGTTACTATAATTACTTACTTGAGAACTAAAAAGGATCTTCATTACTAAGTTGATAGTTTCTAAGTGGATACACTAAGGTTATATGTAAATAGGATGTTATAGACTTAGAATCTGTGAAATTTTTGCTTTACCCCTATTCCTTGTGAATTTGGAGTTAAGGTCACTTATTCGAAGGCCTATCCTATTTTGATTACATATGACTGGTATACACTTTACAAATAATGATGTGACTAATGAAGATTATCTAATAATTATCTAGATAGTTCATCTAATAGTTATTCTCTTACCCCAATTCTTGCATAGAAAACATGGCTGGACTCCATCCCCACGACAACCTGTACCTTCCGAATGAAGGCAATGCTGGATGGTTTGGCGAAGAACCCGAGAATGATCATCCAACCCCATTGAATGATCACCATGCTGAAGACCTTTCGGATGATGATAACTCCGAACCCGAGGTTGAGAACCTACCCCCAGTAGCTCCCATTCGAAATCCTAACCCTCTTCCGGCTTTTCATGGTCTGATACCTCCTTGCGTAGAATGCTTGGAAACGTTGATCGAAGATCAAGATCAGCCTATGCCGTTTAATAGAGACCGAATCTTCTACAATGTAAATGAAGGGAGCTCAGCAGATAGAGTTCTACCAATCCTAATCCGTAGAGTTGCCTGAAACGAAATTAAGGGCAGAACG